AATATTTTTGTGACTGTAAATTTAACATCTATATAGTAGACTTGACATGAGCGCTTTACATTATGAATCAAATACGAGATACACATAAATGCCTCATGTAACCTTATCATAATCGGTTATTATGTTTCATTCTGCACCTACCTTATATACACATTTTACATAGGTAGGTCTTCTAAATCGAAACTCAGTCGAAACTTGTGGGTTAATTTCATAAACTGAAATACACTCGAGGAAAATAACCCATAATAATAATCTGTACACATAATAATAATAATTAATGATCTGGTGGTGGAGGAGCTCAGCAGAGCTCTGAGAGCCATGTAGCAGTTTGCACGCATAACCTGAGCTAAGCAGATGGCATCGCACTGCAGAGCCCCTCTATCACAGGTTGATCACATGCCTACAGATACTAGTTTATATTTGTGAACGATATGCTGCATCACACGGCCTCAACTATAATGTAAAAAAGTCTGTACTGATGGTGTTTAACATGGCAGAGGACAGGACATCATCCCGCCTGTTACGTTGAATAGCACCATTCTAAGCAATGTATCGAGCTTTAAATACCTTGTGCATATACTTACCGCAACCGCTGTAGTAAAAACGACTTGAAATATTATAAACAGCGAAACTGGAAGGATCAAACCTCGTAACTTAGATTTTAAACTAAAATATAATGACAAAATTATAAACACAGACGCAGAAGGTGCTAAAATATTTGAAATTTTTTTACTGACATTCCAATTTTGACTACTAAGTCGTTAAATTCATCCCCCAACGTCGCTGAATCCTTACTAAAAGAAAATAACGCAGTTAGTATTACTAATTTAAGGTTCCGCCATGTATTTCCAAACGGTATTGTTAAAGCCTTTAAGTCTAAAGACATAAAAAATACTGCTGAACTTGACGGTCTTTCAGTCAGAGTAATTAGTTCTATTGTTGATTGTATTGTGCCTTAATTAGCCTGTGTCTTTAATAAATGTGTTGATGATGTGTGTGTTTCTTGACCTTATGAAGCAAAGTAAATTTATTCTACTTTTCAAATCTGGTAGTATGTCAGACCCCACCAATTTCAGACCTATTTCAATACTACCAACACTCAGTAAAATCTTTGAAAAAAATTATTCTAAATCAGATGTGTGCACATTCTTATAGTAATAACTTAATGTCTTTTAAACAATTTGGTTTCACTCGGGGTCGCGCTACAACCGATGCTGGTGTTGAGTTGATGAAACATATATTTAATACAAGACTCACATGACGCTATTGGCGTATTCTGTGACCTTTCCAAGGCTTTGCATTGCGTGCACCATGATACTCTGGTCAGGAAACTTCGCCATTATGGTGTGGCAGGACGTGACCTCGACCTTCTTAAATCGTATTTCAGTAGTAGGGTCCAGAGAGTCGATGTTAATGGTACGAGATCGTCAGGGTCTGCAATAAGCATGGGTGTCCCTCAAGGTTCAGTTCTAGGTCCATTTTTGTTTTAGTTTATATTAATGACTTACCTAGCCTCATGGAGTGTTTAAAACCAGAGATAGTATTGTTTGAGGATGATACTTTATTATTATTTAAAGTTAGAAGGTTCCAATATTCCTACGACGATGTGAACAATACTATATTTAAAGTAGTTGATTGGTTTGCTGTTAATAAATAAATGTTAATAAATGTTAATAATTGGTTTGCTTCTTAATGAGAAAAAAACAAATTGTGTGAAATTTACATTACCCAATGTTAGAGAGACTGTTATAAACATTGTAGTTAGAAACGAAAAATTGAACCTTGTGGATACAGTTGTATTTCTAGGTCTAACGTTAGATGCTAAATTGCAATGGGGTCCACATATAAGTAAGTTATCTAAACGGCTCAGCTCTGCAGTGTACGCGATTAAAAAAATACGGAAACTTTCAGATGTCGAAACCGCTAGATTGGTTCACTTCAGCTACTTTCACAGTCTAATGACATACGGCATTTTGCTTTGGGGTAATGCCGCCGATATCAATAGAATCTTTGTCCTGCAGAAACGTGCGGTTAGGGCAATTTACAATCTGGGCCCCAGAGCATCTTTGAGAGATAAGTTTAAGGAAATTAATATTCTTACACTGGCGTCACAGTACATCTATGAAAATGTAATTTATGTTAAGAGGAATAGTAATTTCTTATCACTTATACAAAGGTAATACCGAAAATACATGCCAATAATAGCGGATTTTGTCTTGAAAATAACAGGCAGCGTACATGATTGTGGATGAAATGCACGAGGAGCACCCTGAACTGCTGAAGGACCAGTATTGGGAGGAGGTGGTGCCCAAAGACTTGCCGTACACAGTAGCATCGGAACATTACAGGCGTCACGAGCCAGCATGCTCTGCTGACCATTATAAGGTTAAGGCAGAAGATGCCGTATACGCCAATGTTCAAGCCCCTAGGAAGAGCCACGATGAAACTTATGCAGATTATGTATGTAATGACATGTAATTTGTTGGTTTCTACTATGTCATCCATAGTCTGAATTGCCTAATGATTTTCGTAATAGATTTTTTAAATTCAAATCTAAGTGTACATTTGACCTCCATCCCACCTCTTGGAAAGCGACGATGCGCATGACGATGGAGCATGCACATCTAAATAATGCCTACTCACTCTCATCTTGAAAAGGTCCAAGTTATAACGTTCAGAGAACAAGTCTGCAGGCAGGGAATTGCACTCCATAGTATAATATAAATCCATATAAATCTCCATATAAATGTGAAAGCGGAACGCTTCGTGCGAATCTTTGCAATATTAAGATTTATTATTATGTTTATGTTTGGTAATTTTCCGAATAATTTCAAATCGTGGAAATATTTCCGGAAACATTTGTAAAAAATGGGAGATATATAATACGAAAGCTCATATTATGTTCTACGTTTAGATATATCTTTTGTAGCTTTATTTATGGTGAATTATTAAATAAAATTGTACAGCTATACGCAACTTAGATTAAAACTGGATTTAAAGTGCCTGGACAAAAGCGAAAAAAGAATCCGAGCTATATTTTTTTTTTGTGGAAATGGCTCCGTCGTTTTCGTTCTGTATCTTCAACTTTTGACAGGTAGGTATTAAATGTGGAGAAATTTTCTTTATTTTTTTCTATCCTCTAAGGGAGAATAAGAAAAATTTTCGGAAAAATATTTATTTGTTTCAAATGTACGTGTTTTTCAAAATGGAAATTTTCCATGACCCAACAAACACTAAGGGTCATATTCCAGAACTCTACTCAATGCTCAAGTCAGGACTTGAGTATAATTTCAAGCGCAGGAAATACGACCTTAATGGCAAGGACTTGATTATGATTTCTAGTGCTTTAAATAATTCTCAAGTCCTGACTTGAGCATTGTGTGTGCATTCTTCTTTCCATCTTGTGATGAGGGTCAAATGCGTACTTATTTTCTTATATATAAAAAAAAATTCTATTATATTAGAATATCTCGTACCCACAGAAGGAATCCCGTCCACTTTTGTATTTAATCTTCTATGTGGCCACGCTATTATAAACCAGACCACTCTGATTGAGGAAAGATTACTTGATAATAAAATAGCCTTATCTTACTAATATTAAATAACGTAACACTTTCCGGCCTTTGTCATTAGAATACCTATAGTAGAATTCGTATACAAATTGGATTTTGTTATTCACATTTATCTAACGACTAACACTCTTTCACTTTCAGGAGAGTGTAGATACGCCATTGGTAGAACGACGAAAAAACTGGTTTCAAAGACAAATATCAAGAATGGGTTCTGTACGATCGGCTTCGACCGCATACTCTTCCGGGGGATTGTTCGGACGTAACCGGCATAACTCGGTTGTGTACTCGAGCCCCGAGGCGGGTCAGCCGTTGCCACAACCGCCACCTCACAAGATGTCTCTCTATGAGCGACTTGTTGGACGGAAATCCGGCCGCGGACAGCATCGTCAAAACTCCAGACATGGTAATTGTTTTTTAAACATTGCAATGCTCTCATAATGTCTAAATTGCAACACGACCCCTGGGGGCCTACCACAACCTCTTAAAATAATATTACTTTAACCTTACATTGACTTTTCGTACCATGAAGCGCTTTAAGAAAACTTATTATAATGTTAAAACTATATTTTTTTATTGGCATATTTATGACTATTCATTCACTCAGTTCGTACTATGACGCGACTTTAACATTGAAGTAATGTTGTTCTTATGTCAAATTTAGCAATATTGAAATAGTTACTCGACCGCAGTGGAAACAATATTATTTTCGATTTTTTTTTTTATAATAACGCACATACTCAACATATCCCCGCACTAGGGAAACCTTGTGTCGCGGGTGCTATGGACACACACATAGACAACCACAAATTACACCCAAACTCACGAGAGAAATAAATGTAGGCCATATCAATATTTCTCCCGGCCCGGGAATCGAACCTGGGACCTCTGCGTGGCAGTCCGGCATGATAACCGTTCGGCCACGGAGGCAGTCAATAAATTTATTGTCTAAGTATTGATTTGTAACGATTAAAAGTTGTGTTGAACTTATTTATTCACATAAATCTCTTCAATGTCTTGTTTATTTTTTTTATTTAATAGTACATAGGAAATAATTTCTCGTTAAATAAAAATAACCCATGTTTATTTCGTAAAATTATAACAGCGACACCTGGATGTTCTTTGGCGACACTAACAGTTGACACTAGACTATAATTCCGAATTCACAACGTAACTATCGAGACTCAGCTTGTTTCATTTATTTTTCTTCATGAAAATACAGAAAAATAATTGAAAACGACGTAATTTCAATAGATTTTATTATTGTATACTTTTCTTTTTTAAACTGTTAATATTCTCTAAATGTAAATAATACTAAGTACTTAAACATTATACAACGATAAAACGATTTGGAACATCAAAAAAGGAAGAGATAGCATTATATAGTTCATATAGCGTTATTTCTTTCCTATTTTTAGTAAGGAATAGACAATATTGGGAAATCATTCGTTCTTTCAATCACTTTAGCAATTACATTATTTGGTTGACAGGTTTGTCATGGTATGAATACGAGTAATATTATAATAAGCTTATTATGAGCTTACATTGAAATAATATTGTTTTTGGAAAGGTTATGGTAGGCCCCCTGGTTCTGGTCTGGGTATTGCCCTCAGAGTTATCGTTATTTTAGTACCATTAAGTCTTCTTTTGTGAAACCAATTTTGCCATAGTCAATTTTTTAACCAAGCGCGAGTTGCGCTAGTATGGTTCCTAAGATAATTTCGTTGTATCATCTATGGTTTCCGATTTCCCATGGACTTACCCATATAGTCCCATTTAAAAAAGCACTTTATAATAATAATTACACTTTTTTAAAGTCAAGTTTTAGTAATTGATCTATCATTTATTTAAGTATTACTCTATACACATATACATATATATATATATATATATATATATTTATATTCCCATAGGTGGTCAAAAAAGCAACGGTTCGGCGGTGCCAATAACCCTGCGTAATCGTCCACGCATCCCCACGCCAGACGTGACAAAGGAAGTAATGGACCGTGAGAACAGAATAGCCATGGGCATGCAGAATATGGGGGTTATAATGGCACAGAGCTATCAAAATGAAGTACCAGTGCTGGGCGCACTGGTGCTCTCCCCCATACAAGAGCTTGATAGTGGTTCTGTGAATAATACTTTACATGCAGGGCAGCCAGGTACGACAGCCCTGGCGCAGGCGGTGCTGTCGCCTGGCTCCCTGTCACCGATGCTAACAGCGGCGCCTGTGACGCTGTCTTCCATGGGCGTATCTCAGCTTACTCTGGTGAGCTCGACGCCATCAACGCCGAGGACGGAGCGTGGTATCCCGGTAGTGCAGACGACGGGAGGGACCACACCGCCTTTGCAGCCTGCTACTGTCACGGAACTTCCACCCTCCGACCGCGATAGCGACCACAGCGGCAGCACGGGCACGCCACCTGAGTTTACGCGTAAACCAAACGGGTCCAAAAGAGGAGAAGTCTATGTCTAACTCGTGAACCGTCCAAACAAGTGGTGCTTATAAAATTGTGATCGGTATAGAAGTTTAAGAACAGAATTTTGTGTGACTGTCGACAGAAATAACTCTCAAGATAGGTCATTTACTGATAAATGACTATTTGTGTTATCTAAAATGAATTTACGCACAAACAGGGATTGAATTGTACTTATATCGTTGCTATAAAGCATTTTTATTTTAAATTTCTGCAGTTTTATTTGTATAATGATGCCAATTGTAGTTATTCTCCATATTGTTCTGTGTTCTCAATGCACAACATAGGTGGTCTACTTTAAAATAGTCCCAATAAAGGAGCCCGACTAAACCTGGAGATCCGTAACATAAATAGCACATTGCGTATTAAGGGCGGTAAATAAGAAATTACTAACGAGAATTTGTTAGACTCGAGGTTTGTAAATTTTACCTCCTCCCTTCATCACATTTGACAATAAATAGATCATAGAGTTTATACTCGATGACGATGTTTTTTTTTAATATTACCGGCTTGGAGCATAATTCCCGGCAATTCTTCCATACATAACACAACTCGAACTAAAATGTTACAAAAGGCACAGACGCATGCAGCCACACGCAATGTATTCGTGTAGGACTGTTGGCCCCACATAAATTTCCAAATTTTAAAAATACTGCAGAATTTGAATTCACAAAATAAATTTAGTAAATTATACTTAAATTGCAAATGTTTACTTTTTTATACTTCCAATGTATGCGAATTTTCGAGCTTATAAACTTTTTGCTTAAACTTGACGTAAAAAATCCATAAGGCGATAATATAATGAAAAAGCCCGTGTGCATAATTTAGGACATTATCCTTTATAATGCCTATGCATTATTAAAAACAATATAAAGATAAATGTTAGTAGGACTCGGAGCACGTGTTATTGATTTCTAAAAACGTTGTAATAAGCATATTACATTTTATGTATAGGAAATGACATGAAACTACTCTATGATGTAATGACATCATAGAGTAGTTTCAAGGCCATCAGCAAATTCTGGCAGATTTTTTTGTCAGGGATTTAAAAAAATATATATATAGTGAACAAACAACGTACCTATAGATATCGTTGTGAACAAATAACAACTCACTAAAATGAAATGGTTTAAAACAACGGCGCAATCTGAGAATAAACACAAAAAGGCGCAAAGTTAATTGCATACGACTATCCTAATCATTTCACATAATGGAATAATTTTCAAACTGAAGTGCTTTTGGTGACTAGAGTAGAAAATTTATACAAAAGTAAAAAAAAAACATAACTTCTACTATAAATTATCGGGTATTTCTTTTCTTTGGTGCAAATTGGATGAAATCGCGAGAAAAAAATTCTGACGCTTGTTAAAAACGACGTCTGTGAAAACCACCTGGCAATGAGAAAATGTTGCTGATTGTTACTGAAGATAAAAACACCAATTAAGTTGTAATCATAGTTTTTTTTTATTAGAAAACTGTCTAAATTTTTTCCATACCCTAAGTGGAAATTGTTAAAGTGTCAGTCATGTGCCACTCAAATTACGTTTTTGTTTCCTCACTCTATGTCGCGTTATGAAATCTTTTTCTCAGAGGAAACCGTGCTTCGAAAATTTCTTTTATAATTTATTTGTAAGTCATTGACTTACAATAAGTCAATGTTGTAAGTCAATGTTTATAAGTTATCAGCTCCCGTAGCATGACTACGCATGATAGTCGCGACGCGCGCGATAAAATTGAAATAAGCGTGCGCTATGGGCTGTCTAAATTAGATCTGATTGAGACAGCCAACAGAGTGCGCTTATTTCAATTTTATCGCGCGAGTTGCGATTATCATGCGTAGCCATATTACGGGGGCAGGTTTTATAAGTTGGATTTGACTATTATTTCGAACTGTAAATTTATTGACTTTCTTGCCCTTGAAAAACTTCTTAATCCTTTTTTTAATTAAAAATGTAAGGGCTGATTGGACCTCCATGTCACCTGATGGGGTGCAAGAAAGGAGCCTCCTCCCTCGACTCTCGGGCCCCCTCGGCGAGTACCTTATGCGATTTGCAAATCTTTCACCGCAATGGTAAACATTGCAGTGTACGTCATCGGTACGATAAGAAAAAAAGACCTGATGGAAAGTGACGATGAGATCGACGATTGGGTATGCACGATGCACACCTAAATAACACATTTTCACTCTCGCCTTGAAAAGGCCCAAGTTATATTGTTCGGGGAACAAGTCTGTAGGCAGGGAATTTCATTTCACAGCCGTTAACCTTTTAAATGTGGAAGCCAAACGCTTCTTGTGAACCCTTGGAATATACACAACAAATATTCTTAAATTAAAATATTCACTCTTGACTGTTGTTTAATTTCTTCATATAAGAATTAATTAATTTAATAATAATTTCTTCTTTATTTCTTTACGTTGTCTACTGACCAACTTTTGTTCCGTTGCTTGTTCTGTTACATTTTCTCGTACCTTCTTATTTGAGTTTAGCCAGCATTGTTTTAAGTTTATATTGCTTTCGTTTACCTATGTATTTTCTTGTACTATAACCTTTTTTCCATCCTCTAAGACTATAACGCAGTATATGTCAAAATTTATTTATATACGGTTTTAATGAAAATGTAATTGACTCACTACACTATCGACCCGGAATATTCATAATCTTCTCATTTTTAATTCCACTTCTGCGCACTACTCTAAACAGAGCGTATGTGGTCTGTGGTTTAGATCATAGGCTCCCAAACTATTTGGCTCACCGCCCCCTTTAGGCAAGATAAAAAAAATCAACCATCAAATCAAACCACAACAAAAAATAATTGAAAACTGTACCGGGTTCAATTCCCTAGTTTTATTTTCCCTATGAGGGTAGAAAATCAAACTAAAAAAATCCGAAAATTGAATTAATTATAATAAAAATAATTTAAAATTTAAATTAAAAAAGGTACATAAATTAATAACGGGTCGTGGTAACGTGCCTTAAGACTTTAGGTTTTTCTTTTTCGCTTCCGAGAATGGTACTACGTGGTACGTAATGGTACGACAATGGTAAGAAGGGCCACAGGACGAACCACAATTAGGAGCCGTTCAGTGAATGTTGCTTCGTCCTAGTCCGGACGTAGTCAAGCTCCAGGTGTAAGAACCCGAAGGAAGCTCAGTAAAGGTAGCTTTCCAACCCGAAAGTACTTTTCCAATCTGAAGGTGACTATTATCCCGTAGGTGACTCCTGCAACGGACAACCAACCGCTAGTAATAGTCCTTTTTGCTTCCGTTCTGAAAGCCCACCGACGGCAAAAGAGAATTAAGGAAGCACCTGCGTAGTAGCAATTGCCGGTGGCGCGACCAGAACTGAGCTGCAGTTTAAAATGAGTTAAAATAAAAAGAAAGAATTTAGGTAATAAGGCTGAAGGCCGAGACGTTTGTTTATTGTTAGAAAATAAAATATTAAACTAAATAAGCGAAAGAAAACGTCTGATGAAAAAAATACTATTAAATTTGACCGTTACAATTTGAAATTGTCATGACGCAATCTTCAAAATTTCTCAAAGCGTATGGTACTATGGTTCAAATTTACGTTGTACATATCTATATAATCGTAGAAAGAGCTGCAATAACGACATAGTATAATTTGGTACAATACAAAACATGAAATTAGCAAATAAAAGCGTTACAAGTGTTTTGTGTATCATTCAACTTATCCTAAAGCGGGAATATTAACTTTCACAACTATTTAAGTACGTTTAATGTGATTGCGAAGCAATAATCTTTGATTTACAATAAAATTTTTCACATTTAAAATTAAGTTAACGGTTTTTTTTATATCGTGAGCGCGGCTAAGCCGACCGTGAACAAAGAAGACGTTCTTACGCGGTTTATCTGAGCCACAGAACACTATACTCACAAGGAGGTCAGAGCTTAGCGGGCGCCGCGCCCTCCCCTTTCTGCGTCTCAGACATTATTCGAAAATGCAACGGAAGCTGCCATAGATTTAATCAATTTTGTTTATGGTAAATCATGGTTTTAATGTTTTATAATCAAATATTATTTAAAAACAGGATATATGATAATATTTGTGTTAAATGTTTAATTGTGTTAAATTTGAAAAAACGATTTATTCTAAAATGAAATTAACAACGTTGTAACGTTCCGTTACTAAACACGTATTTTCAATATTATCATACAAAAAATAATAAGGAATAAACCTTAGAATAATAACGCATAGAAACCTAGCCCGCACACGCTAAGTGAGGCAAGTTAGAGGGTTCCAAACGCGTCCCAGGAGCGCGCGGGCTGTTAGTGCTCAAGGTCATATTGCACTGCGAACAGCTCCAAAATTTTTTGCTAAAAATGACGAAATGTGCGGTAAATGGGTGTAAAAATACAACAGACAAACATAAAATAGACACTAACATCGCATTCCACAAGTAAGTAATGCGTTTCAACTCATATTTTTATGTAAATATTCACTAAAACAGAAAAATAATTTCGCGGCAACAAGATACGAAAGTGTTGCAAAGTAACGAATTTTTTTTCTCCCCATTTTGCTATTCTGTATCAAAATAATTATATTACGTAAATTTTAGTGGTGCCTGTAATTTAGATTTATTTGCGCATCTTGAACTAATATTTACTTTAATAAACATTAAATGTTTTCGTTAACTCCTGTAAGTGATTGGGACACTTAATTATTTTATAATACTTTTAACGGCTCTGCGTTCATGCTTTATTGAATAATTATTTATTTTAATTTTATTTGAATTGGAGCACATATTGCAACAAATTTACAGTACTTATATATTTGTTTCTACTATAGTGTTGGCACCACCAGTACAACTTTGATAGCTTATTATATGTCTTTCTTTTCGTAACTCAAGCGAAATATTTTATATTAAAATATTTTATTTTCTTAAAAGGGGAGCATTCTTAAGCGATTTTTTAATCTATTTTAACAGTTATTTTCTTTAATGTTTGCTTATGGCATTTTCGGTTTTAGGTTTCGAATATGGCACTTATTTCTAAATCCAAGATGCGGGCGCGATTTTTCGAATAATGGCAAGTTGGGTATCGTTTTCGAGATGTTTGGGAATGTTCAATACAAATATGGCACTCATTTCTAAATCCAAGATGGCAAACACGACAGTTCAAACAAAAGCAATATTCGTAATGAGCACCCCCAAATACCTC